TGTGAAGGCCGGGAGGAAGGTGGGCCAGCCCAGAGACACAAACCTGCTGTGGATGCAGCAACAGCCCTCAGGAGATCATCAGTCTTGTCACCTGGCACTGTGGCACTGCTAAGGAGGTGATCAGTGACTGCTCAGGCTCCACATTTCAGCTCTGGCTGAGTTTCAGCATCTCCTGGTCCCTTGGGACATAACTCAGCATCGCTGAGGGACAGTGCTGGAAAAGCTGAGACTACATCACAGAAAGGCTCATTGACCTGGGCAAGGATACAAAGGAGGCAGAAGCAGGGCCAAGAGCAGACTCCAGAGGCTTTCTAGGAGCACTCCAAAAGCAAAGCAGGCACGGTCAGGGTCTGTGCCACACCACGAGATGTGCTGTGCCCACACAGAGCCCAAGGGAAACAGCTGTGTCACCTGGTGCCACTGCCCTGAGCCCACACACCCTCTGAACACCACCCAAGGGGTAACCAGCCCCTCCAGACTCCCATTCCCGTGTGTCCCAGCAGGCTCAGGCAGACACAGCTCAGGCTGAGGTCAGTTTGCACATCTGAGCAAACTCTGCACGAATTCCTCCAGCATCTCTGTGCAAGCACGGCAGGATCCACCCTCAGCCTCTTTCAGCTGATTAAGACTTTTCAGTGCAATTGTCCCCTTTTCCCTCAGCCTCTGGAAACCTCCAGGAGTTGCAGTCACAGCAGGAAAGGGGAGGAGAAGGTGGGCTTTGTGTCTCACCAGCCTCACTCCTCCCTCCCACGCCACTGTGATGGAGAAGCCCTGACACCCTGACACCCTGCTGCTCACAAATCCCAGACGGATCCACCTGGCTCTGGGACACAGCACAGAGCCTCCCACATGGCCAGGAGGGACCAGCCCTCCCCGAAACTCCCAGGAGGGACCAGCCCTCCCCGAAACTCCCAGCTGCTGCCTCTGGCAGCCCCTCTGTGGAGTGGTGCAGGGTACTCCTGTTCCACAGGGGCTGTGCCCCCTGCATAAAGAGATAAAACCTCCTCAGGAACATCAAAAGAGGCGCCTGGCACTCGGAGAGCCGTTTTACTGAAGGTGATGGCAGCAGAGAGCATTGCAAAGCCAAGGGGAAGGGGAGGCACAGCTGATGAGAGCAGCTCCTTCCCGGTCCCTGCAGGTGAGCCCCGGGCTCAGCTCCAGCTCAGCCCCCCGAGCCCGGGAGGCTCAGGGCAGAGATCTGAGCTCAGCTCTGTGCAATCTGCCTCCTCCTGCTTTGTGTGCAGGCTCTGCTCCAGCGCTTCTCCCTCTCCCTGCGCATGGCCCAGGAGGATGCCGAGGGAAGGAGCCCCAGTGCCCTCCCAGCAGGGCTGTGCGTGCAGGGGTGCAGCACCCCGGAGCATCCTCCCCTTCCCCGCCCCCAGCTCACAGGCTCCTCACTGCTTCCAAGACAGAAAATGTGGAAAATTCCCATCTGTGCTGCTGGGTTTTGGTTATTCCTTTGGAAGGCTCGGAGGCCAAAGTCGTTGCTGGGGTCAGAAGAAGATTGCACAGCACAGGGCCGGTGGCAGCAGGCACAGCCTGGCACAGGGAATGTGGGATCTCAGCTGGGCCCTTGCCAGCTTCCAGCTCCACGGGATGAGTGGATGGAGCAGCAGCGCTCCCCTGCTCTTGCATTCCCTGTTCCCTTGCATTCCCTGTTCCCTTGCATTCCCTGTTCCCTTGCTTCCAGGCCCCTGGAGCGGTGCAGGGAGCAGGGCAGAGCAGAGATGCTGTGAGACAAACTGTGCCCTTGCTCCTTCCCACCAGTGACTCCTTCTCCCTCCCGCTCCTTTATGGACACGACAGGCTCCCTGGAGGTTCTCCCAAGGCAAGCCCGGAGCTCCTGAGCTCGGGAATGCGGGAATGAATGAGGGGCCCGGCTGGTTCAGCCCACAGCCCTCCACACTTCCTCACTGCTTCTCATTAACTCCTCCTCTGTCCCAGCTTTGGCTGGGAAAACATCCCAGATCCAGCAGGGAACAACGATGTCTGCACCAGTCAGCGCCCAGGCACCGAGTGGTGCAACAGCACCTCCACCTTTTTGCCCTAAAATTCCTCTTGGAGCACATTCCTCTTTAGAAAACCTCTCCAAACGCAGCCCTTGATGGGCCCAAGGAATACAGGTCTGAGGTCTGTGGGCCGGCTGGGAAAGGGGGACAAAACCCAGAAAATGCAGAGCACCCTTGGTAAAAAATTTACATTATAAAGACAGGAAATACAGACTAATGCAATGAATGGTGTCTTCTCTCAAGAGGAAAAAAGAGAGCTGCTCTCACATCGGTGATGTTGATGTAGGTTCTCATGTTACAAGGGTTTGTGTTCGGGTTAAAAAAAAAAAAAAGAAAAAGCATAGAAAGCCCTTTTTCAGTAAAACTGAATCGTGTTAATAAGGCAGCAAGTGCTGAGAACAGGGAAAGCTCTGCCTGTCCAACTGCCCCTGGTGGCTATTTCTGGCTTACGAGGCACTTGAAGCATCCTAGCAGCCCACAGTGGGAAATGTAGTCCAGATCCAGCAGGATGGACACTCAGCTAAACAGAATCCCCCAGGTTTGTAAGGACTTTCCAGCCAAACCTGCCAGCAAGCCAGCCTCTCACAGGAGCAATTCATAAACTGCAGCAAAAAAGCAAATAATTCAACCCCAGACTCCTCCAAGCCTTGTTCTATAAATAAAGCCGTTGTAACACAGATTTTATATTTCATTATTCCCCGTGTCGCTCCGCACGATGCTGGCGGCAGCCGGGAGTGTCAGTGCGTGGGGAGAGCAGCGCTGCAGCAGCAGCGGGGATGGATGGGGGGATCGGGGTGCCCGCACCACACCCAGCACCGGCACTGCTCTGCCAGCCCCAGGGGTGGCACGGAGCCCCGGCACTGCCCGGGCCGAGCTGGGCACGGAGCGCCGGGCTCCGGTCCATGGCAACCCCCGCGCCCCGGCAAATGGAGGCTCGGGTACCAGCATCCCCTCATCCCCGGGAGAAGCTGGCAGCCGAGCCTGCTCCCGAGGTGCTCCCCGAACAAGAATAATAAATTGGCCATTTCACGTTTCAGATGGACACAAAGCCTCTCAAGGAGGCGGTGTGCGGTGTGGATCACAGCTTGGATGTGTCCTTTGATCGTCACAAATAAATCAGCCAGAGTGCCCTCCAAATAGAAAGGAAAAGAGAATTATATCTGTGTCACTGACGGGAACGGGAAGCGAGCTGGAGGCAGCACAGCCGGGAGCGGGGTCCGAGCAGCCAGAGGCTCCGCACCCCCAAACCTCCCCGGGCAGCGCCCGGCCAGCCCGGCAGCTCCCACGGTGGGCTGATCCCTCCGGTGTAAAACTGCAATCCGTGGGCTGGGCTCCCGCGAACACACCCGGGTGGCAAAGGCTTCCCGAGCGGGCTGAGCCCGCAGCCTGGCAGCGAGGGTCCCTCCCGAGCTGGGGCCGTGTCCCGGTGCCCCCGGAGCCCCCGCAGGCGGCCAAGGCACGGCGGGACCGGGGGGCTCCGAGCGCCGCCGCAGCCCCCGGCCCCCGTGCCAGCCCTGCCCCAGCCCCAGCCCCAGCCCGCACAGCGGGGCCGGGAAACAAAGATTGTCGCCAAAGTCCACGGGAAAGGGCTGGCTCAGGCGCAGTCCTGCCGTGCCACGCTGCGAGCTCCGTGCATCTCCCCCGGCGCAGAGAGCAAGTGGAAAGAGGGTTCAGCCCCTGCACCCCCAGCCCTTCCCAGCCTCTGGCTGGCGAACACGAAGCGGCGGGACCCTCAGGGAGGGCTCTGCGGAGAGCCCCACCGCAGCCCGGGAGCCGCTGGCCCTCCGGGAACTTCCCCGTCCGGAGGCTCCGCGGGCGGGACGGGCTCGGGGAGCGGGGCCGGAGCTCCCCGGGTGGCCGGGCTGCGAGCGGGGCGAGCCGGGCTGCCCCATCCGCTCTGCCGCCCGGCCCGACCCCTCCGCCGCGGGATGCGGGATGCGGGGTGCGGGATGCGGGATGCGGGATGCGCTTCCTCCCGAGGCACCAACTTCGCCCGGTCACCCCAAGGCCGAGCTGAGCCAAGCCGAGGCTGGGCGGCGGCTGGAGGGGGCTTAGCCCGCTGCTCTCCTTCCAGCCCGCTGCTCCCTTTCCACCATCGCTCCGTCCTCCTGCCATCCCGCTGCCGTGCTCCGCGGCTGGAGCCGAGCCGTGCCCGGCGCTCGCTCCCCTCCGGCCTCGCCTCCGCTCCGCTCCCCCCGCGCCCTCCCCGCCGTCTCTCCCGGCCCGGCCCCCGGCCCCTCTTCCCCTCGTGGGACCTCGGCCGCTCCCGAAGACCCCACAGGGGAAAAAAAAAGTTGCGGCGAGGGAAGTTGGCGGCGCCGGGCGAAGTTGGGGCCGCGGCCGCCGTGCCCTGCCCGGGGGAGCCGCGGCGGCGCAGGGGGACCGGGGCGCACCTACCTTGTGCTATCGCCCTCTTCATCTTAGGGCTCGGGGAAGGCACGTCTGGAGGCGCGAAGTGGAGCGGCAGCAGTACAATCCTTGGGAAAGCGGGGCAGATCCCGGAGCCAAACTTCAGCCCGAGCGGGGAGCGGCGGCGCACGGGGAGGGGGGGGCGCTCCCGGTGCCGGCGCCCTCGCTCATCGGGGGAATGAGCAGCCCCCGAGCTGGAGTCAGCATCCAGGCGAGGCTCCCCCTCCCTGCCTCGCCTCGCCTGCCTCCTCCTCCCTCCGCCCGCCCGCCGCACGCTCGGGGCCGGGGCTGCGGCGGATCCCGCGGCGGGGAGCGGAGCCGGCTGCGCTGGATCCCGGAGCCAGCGGCGAGCGAGCGGGGATGGAGAGGCGATGAATGTTTTATGGGATCATGTGGTTTGACGTGAGAGGAATCAGCCTAGATCGGATTTACTGGCTGGAGGAGTGAGCGGGAGGACGGGGGAGCCGGGCACGGGCTGGCGAGGGGAGGAGGGGCCGCTCCGACGGCGGCGGCTCCGCGGCGGAGCCCCCGCGGTGCGCGGCCGCGGCCCGGGCAGGGCTGCGCGGGGCCGGAGCCTCATTCCTGGAGGAGAGGTGCCACCTAAAGGAAGCGGCGGAGAGGGACGCCCGGCGGCGGGCACCGGGCCCGCTCCTCCTCCCACCTCCCGCCGCAGCCGCGCCCGCACCGCCCCGGGGACCGCGGGGAACGCGGCTCGCAGCCCCTCGGGAGGCACCGGAGAGCTCGGCGGGTGTTTTCACCTGCTCTGGATCTGCGCACCGGGGAGGCGGCGAGAGACATCCGAACCCGCGGTGCCTCCTCTTCCTCACCAGATTCGGCTGCTGCGGGTGCGGAGCCGCTGCTTTCCCGAGGGATGAGGATTCAGAGAGCCCTTTGGGTACAGCCCGAAGGAGAACTCTTCCCTGTGGCTGAGCCCTCTCGTCATCCCTGCCCTTTGGGGTCAGTCTTCCGCGGGCAGGAAGGACAGCGGCGTGCCTCAGTTTACCCAAAGAGCACGAGGGTTTCACTGTAGCTGAAGCAGGGTGAAGCTGGATTCCCACCCTGCTCAGCCCTCCCTGTCCGGGAGGGTCAAGGGCTCCCGCACAGGGAGATCCCATCTGCAGCCATCCCTCCTGAGAAACAGAAAGGTGGATTTTTATTAACTGAACTCGTTTGCTCAGTGAGGAAAGGAGGAGGGAAGGATTGTGCCCGGGAAAGCTGAACAATATGGGGAGGTGGTGGCTCTGTCCCTGCTAGGCAGAGGTTCAGCTGCCACCAGAGCCATGGACAATGTGGGATATGTCTGTGTGCATGTGAAACCCCACTTGGAACTCTGCATACAGTCCTGGTGCCCCCAGCACATGGGACATAGAGCTCTGGGAGCAGGTCTGGACTGGAGCCCCTCCCCAATGGAGCCACACTGGGAGCTGGGATTGTTCAGCCTGGAGAGGAGAAAGTTGTGTGGAGACCTCACAGCACCTTCCAGGGTCAGAAGGGGCTGCAAGGAAGCCAGAGAGGGACTTTTCATCAAGAACCAGAGTGCCAGGACACAGTGAATGGCTTCCCACTGCCAGAGGGCAGGGCTGGATGGGATATTGGGAAGGAATTGTTCCCTGGGAGGGTGGGCAGCCCTGGCACAGGGTGCCCAGAGCAGCTGTGGCTGCCCCTGGATCCCTGGCAGTGCCCAAGGCCAGGCTGGACACTGGGAGGTGTCCCTGCCCACGGCAGGGGTGGGAATGGATGAGCTGGTTCCTTCCAGCCCAACCCATTCTGACATTCTATAATGTGTGTAATTATCTTTACCTGTGTACACCAGGAATAGAAACGCTACTGAGCCTTCACCCTCGCTTGTGGTTTGTCACCCCAATATAGGCCTCAGGGTTGTTGTCACAACCACATCCCTCCCAGGCCAGCCCAGTTTCCACCTTTCTTGTAGGCATCACTGCACAGTGAGCCAGGGTTCATTTCTCCTGTGTGCCAAATCCTCTCACCACACCCAGAGCTGAGGGTCCCTCACACTGACCCAGCCCACAACCATCTATGGGAAAAAGAAGCTCACCCAAAGACACCCAGCTGAACACTTGGGGCAACTGGAGGTGATTTGCTCAGTGTGGGCCTTATTTGTGCAACAGCCTCAACTGGCCCAAGGTCCTGGGCTCAGAATCACAGGATGGATTGGGTTAGAAGGGATCTTAAAGCTCACCTGGTTCCGATCCCACTGCCGTGGGCAGGGATACCGTCATTAGGTCATTGAAAACCCACCTGAAAGTGACCCAGAAGAGCTGTCCAGACACCCTCTAATGGCAGATGTGAAGTTCTGTGCAGCCCAGGGCCTGCAGCCCCTTCCTGCACCCCTGGAGAGGGCAGCTGGCACCTGGGGAGGGCAGGGGGCTCCCTCTGGCCGCTCTCTTTCTGCTCCTCCAGAGTGCAAAGGTGCCGAGATGATTCCCTAAACCTCTTCCTTCCCACACCTGCAGTCCAGCTCAGGCATCCCCTGATCTTCTCCAGCCCTTCTGCCTCGCCTGCCCCTTCCCTCTGTTTGCTCTGGGTGACTCCAGCTGTATCCTGCCCATCCTGGATTTTCCAGGAGCCCTGCACACACTTAATGAACAGGAGAGCTCTTAATGAACGTGCTGCCAGAGGAGCATTGTGCCCACAGGGCCACAGCTGGAACACTTGGGTCACTTTTGGATGCTTGGGCCAGTCCATGGCAGGTCTGCTCTGAAGGAACAGAAGGGTTTTCTGGGAATGCCAGGAGAGGTGAGGTCTGGGAAGAGACAAGGAACATTCCTGTGCAATCTGCTGCAGCACACTCTGCTGTTGGTTTGTGGACATCTTCTGGGCGGGAGGATGATCCCACCCTGCCCAGCTATTGCTGCAGTGGCAGCCCAGCTAGCACAGGTTAGGAACGTGCTGCACCTCCCTTTTGAACACGCCTGCCAGCACTCCTGTTTCAGCAGTGCCCTTCCACTCCACCACCCCAAGCGCTGCAGCAGGGGAGAGAGGTCACCGACGTGTGGGGCATCAAAATAGCTGCAGAAGAAAGGACCCTGGAGCTGGAATTTCCTGGGAGAGGGCTGGAAGGTGAGCAGGAGCACTGAAGGAGTTAATTGAAGCTCTAGTCACAGGCCCGAAAATTCCAGGTTGTACCAGGGAGGCAGCGGTTGTTTGGCTGACATTTCTGAAAGGTTAATCTGGAAACGGAGAGAGCACATCTGTACAGGGCTGGGGCTGACTCTGGCTGCAGATCCCTGCACCTCCTTGGGCTGCTTGGCCCAGCAGCTGTGACACAGGGGTCACCATGAGGCAGCGTGGGGCTGTGACCTTGGCACGCAGCGATGCTCAGGGTGTCCTGGGGGCAGCTCTGCCCCCAGGCCTGTGTGACAAAGCACAGAGAACTGGCTCTGCCCTGTGCCCCGTGCTGGACATCGACACTTCCCGTCTCTCCATGTGCAAGGGGTGGCCTGCAAGAGCTGGGTGAAGGAGGGGAGTCCCAACAGGAGATCTCCTGCGGGAGCCAGGGTGCTCACAGCTGCAGTGGGAGCAACTCTGGAGAGGAGCCAAAGCTCCCCGAGATGCAGACACCTTGCTTTGACTGGATAATTATATGTTCATCTCTACCTGTTGCTTAATGTTCTGGTTTGAAAGCAAAACCAGTGAGAGATTTCAAGTCAGAAATACAATTTATTGGGAAAAGGGAAAAAGACAAGAATACATGCAATGATACAAAAGGAAGACCACTGACAAAGTCAGAATACAACCTGACACCCTCTGGCCAGCGTGCTGGTAGCAGTCCAGATTGGAGTGGCTGCAGTCCTCTTGGGATGGCAGATGTGGTTCTGTGTCTTCTCAGAAACCTGTGGAAAGGCTGCCTCTCTGCCTAGAAATCCCCGGATTTATCCAGGTGGGAATGCCTGGCTCCTCCCCCTGGGTGGAGCATCTCACAATGGGCTGATGTTATTTTGAGTCAGGAGGTGTGTCCTTAATCCCCTGTTAAACAGAACTGGCTCCTGGAGAGTTTATCTCTGAGCCATGGGGCAAGACATTGATGGGCCTATGAACAGGAGATAAGGAAAACTGCCCAGAGGCAACTGCTACTGGGATGGTGATAGGAAACATCTTGGTGCTTTAATCTTGGACACTTAATCATGCTGGGATCAATTATCTTCCTGCTCATTAGGAGTCTTGTTTGCAAAGTGCCATCCCTCCCTGCTCTCTTCAACCTGGCTGTGAGCACAGGGCTCCCAAAGGATTTAGGGCACATTCCTGGGCCTGTGGGCACTGAGAGAGGGGGATGTGGGAAACAGGGCACATGAAATGGGAATTCATTGCCTTTTGCTGTGCTCACACCCACCTCTTTCTTTTTTAACAGAGCCTGAAGGAATTGACACCTGAAGCCCAATGTTGACTAAAGTGTATCTTGTTCTGGTGCAGAAAAGGCTTTTCACCCTTTCTTCCCCGTGGCCTTGTGGCTGCACCTGTGCCTGATGTGGCTGGGAGTGCCTGAAAACACCTCTGAGAGGAGCAAGGAGGCAGAAAATGGCACCGAAAGCCCAGTTTTTTTCTCTTTCTAGTGGAAGGGGGACAAGATGCTCTTTTAAGGTCCCTTCCAACCCAGAGGCTCCTGGGACTCTGCATTGTGCCTCCACCAGGCTCTGGCACTGCCTGTGCTCCCAGGAGACAGGAGGAGCTGTGGGCAAGCAGCAGCTGAGGGAATGTCACCTGCTCCAGGGGTAACCATCCCTCTGGGCCTCTGGAAGAGTCACCCTGCAGAGACACAAGATCTTTTTGAAGCAGTCTCCACCTGCTCTGAGACCGGGGATGGGCACACAGTGGGGCAGATTCTCAACCACGCACCCAAAAGGGCTCCCCAGAGCCACCACCACTGCACTGTTGACAAAGTTTATGTTTGACACCTTTTACCTGTTGACTTTGGTGAAGGGCACCAAGACCATGGCTCTTTCCTGGACATTTCCAGCAGCTGGAACATGGCCCTGCAGACTGGGAGGCACTGGGAGGCTTTACATCAGCAGGGCTCCTGGGCCAGGGGGGCACTCGGGGAGGATCTGTGCTGGCAGGATTTATCCAGGCACCCAGAGCAGCTCCTGCTCCATTTTCAGTGCCTGAACTGGGGCACTCCAGTGGGCAGAGAAGTTCTGTGCTGGCAGAGTGACCCTTCCAGCAGAACAGAGTACCGAGACTGAACCATCTTACCTGCACACCATCTATAATATAAAACAGGTATTTTACACGTAACTGTAGGAGCAGTTGATGGGAAGTTGGGGCAGGTGGGATCTTGTTCTGGGATCGTTCTCCAGAATAGCTCAGCTGCCACAGGAAGTGCTGCCACAGAGAGAAGGAGCCAGGTGTCCACAGGAGGAATTTTGTGGGGAAGAGGAGGGGCAGGCACTGAGCTCTGGGACAGGGACAGCAGCCAGGGCACGGCTGGAGCTGGGCCAGGGCAGCTCAGGCTGGAGATCAGGAAAGGTTCTTCCCCAGAGGTGCTGGCACTGCCCAGGCTGCCCAGGGAATGGGCACAGCCCCGAGGCTGCCAGAGCTCCAGGAGCCTTTGGGCAGCGCTGCCAGGGATGGACAGGGTGGGGTTGGTGGGGGTCTGGGCAGGGACAGGAGTGGGCTGGATGATCCTGTGGGTCCCTCCAGCTCACACAGGTGATGTGCCAGGTCTGTTTTCTCCCTGCAGTTGGTCTGCTCTGGGTACCAGAGCACCTCAGAGGCCGTTCAGGGCCAGCACTGACAGGGCCAGCCCAGTGCCCAGGGACAGAGGCGTGGCTGGCCACCCCCGGGCCCTGTGCAGGGACACAGGGCAGGGCAGGGGCCCTGCTGTGAGCTCTGCCTGGCTCCAGCCTGGCAGGCAGGGCACTCCATCCCTGCCAGCTGCTCAGCTCGTTGCCAGGCTCAGGGAGAGGCTCCGGGTGTCTGTGCTGCTCCGTGGGCTGCTTTGCTCCTCCTGCCATGACAAACTGCACCAGAGCCTGGCTGGGCAGGGCAGGGCAGGGCAGGGAGAGAACAGCTCCCCTCTGCCAGTCCATGGCAGGTCTGCTCTGAAGGAACAGAAGGGTTTTCTGGGAATGCCAGGGTAGGTGAGTCTGGGAAGAGACAAGGAACATTCCTGTGCAATCTGCCCCTCTGTCAGTGCGCCCAGCCCGGGGCTGCTGCTCCCAGCAGTGAGTGATGGCCCTCGCAGCTCTGCTCCGTGATTTCCCTCACATTTCAGCCTCTCCTGCCTGAGCAATGGGGTCGGCGTGGACGAGTTGTTCCTGTAAATCATCCCAGCACCGCTCCAGCCTGACACATCAATCCCCTCTGTAAAAGGTTCCCACCTGGTCCTGGCGATGCTGCTGAGATTGGGATGTGCCAGGAATCCTTCAGAAGGCTCTGCAGGAAGGGCTGATGATTTATTCAGGCGTCTCTTGCAGAAAGCTGCTGCTTTTCCAGCCCTGGGGAGACTCACCTGGCTGAGGGCTGCCCCTGGGCTTGGGGCTGCCCTGAGCAGCCTGCCCCGAGCCCTGCACTCGCTGTGAAGCAGTTGGGAACAGGCAGGAATCCCAGAATGGTTTGGGGGACACCTTCCACTGTCCCAGGCTGCTCCAAACCCCAGTGTCCATCCTGGCCTTGGGCACTGCCAGGGATCCAGGGGCAGCCACAGCTGCTCTGGGCACCCTGTGCCAGGGCCTGCCCACCCTCACAGGGAACAATTCCCAATTCCCAATCTCCCATCCATCCCTGCCCTGTGGCACTGGGAGCCATTCCCTGTGTCCTGTCCCTCCATCCCTTGTCCCCAGTCCCTCTCCAGCTCTCCTGGAGCCCCTTCAGGCCCTGCAAGGGGCTCTGAGCTCTCCCTGGAGCTTCTCCTTTCCAGGTGAGCACCCCCAGCTCTCCCAGCCTGGCTCCAGAGCAGAGAGAAGAGGAGGGATGGAGAGGTGGCAGAAAATTGTTTTTAATGTTTATTTTATTCTCATTGTCCTGCTCTGTTTTTTTGGCAATAAATTAAATCTCTCTCCCCAGTTTCAGGCTGTTGTGCCTGTGATGGTGACCAGGGAGGGATCTCTCCCAGTGTTTACCTGTCCCTTCATTTTCTCTCCCCTTTCCAGTTGCAGAGGGCACTGATATAGCAGCTTTAGTGGGCACCCAACATCCAGCTGGGGCCAGCCCACCCCAGAGATTCTGCACGTGCAGGGGGAGCCAAGGGGACTGAGAGAGGTGCAGGAAAATCTGAACGAAGACAAGAAAAGCTGCTCCTCCCCATGTCAGCGTTCAGGAACACACATAATCACGGGATATGATCATCTGCAGGTGCTTTTATTGAGAGCTCTGGGAATCAGGGGTACAGACCCAAATCTGACTCCGACATGGCTTTCGAGCTGAATTTATTTTATATTCTATCATTATATAACTTCCATATTAATTATTAAACTTATATTGCTCTATTGTATACATTGACATGAGTTTCTCGTGATCTTTCTTAGGTCCCTGACCACAGTTTCTCATGATTATTCTTACAATTAAACAGTAATTATATTTAATTGCTAAACAATCATCACATCTAAGAATTATATCATTTATCATGTACTAGCTACACAGGTGCAGTTCTAGTAAGTTACAAGGCCTACATGTACCATGGGTATTTATTTTTTCAGGGCCAACTAAGCTTAATTTTCCTTTTAACCCTAAATCCCCATGATTTTAAACCCTTTTACTATCACCTGGAGCTGGGCCAGGGGAGCCCTGTGTATGCCACGGGTGTTGGAGGCTGGGCTGGATGGGAATGCTGGGTGTCCCCCAGGCAGCTGGGAGCCTGTGGGAACTCAAAATGTCCCTCAGACATTTTTGGATGTTCCGGGCCCAGCTCAGAAGCATTTGAGACCCTGGCAGGCAGCTGGAAACAGCTGTGAGTTTGGGTTTGAGCCATGGAATGATTTACCAACCTTGCAGGAAGAACAAGAACTCACAAAAGTTTAGATATTAGAGTAGAAGTAGTCACAAAGCAGATGGAAGAATTTTTGAGTCCTGTACAGGGGGTTTTGGTTTTGTACATGGGGGTCAGAGGTTTTAAGATGGAGGGATTTGGGCCTGTCCTGTCCTCCCTCTTTCTTCTTCATGCCCTCCATGTTTCACTGTGGTGTTGGCATTTTTCTGTTGGTTCAGGCTGGGGACACACTGTCCAACGTAGGTGACAGATATTGGCACGTTATTGTAAATCCAGCACAGGTAGTTTGTGGTATTTAATGTTTGTACCATCCCACTGAGGGCAGAGCCCCACACGCTGCCCTGCAGGACAGAGCTGCGGCAGGGCAGCAGAACATGTTAGAGATAAACAGAATAAACAACCTTGAAACCAGCACAGACCAATTATGGCTTCTGCTTTGGCAACGGGGCTGACAGACAGAGACTTTCTACAATCTGGGAATCATCAATAGCTCAGATTCTGACAACAGGCAGCACAGTGGCACCAGCAGGATCAAGCTGGGGGCTCTGCTCTGAGCTCTGCCCTCCAGGGGCTCTGCTGTCCCAGGGGCAGCACTTGGTGGTGGGCTGTAATCCGGGGGTTATCCATGTGTTTTCTGAAGGCTCACTTGGTGTCTTCCTTCAGTCCAGCACTGTCTCCTCTGGGGTGGAGCCTGGGATGGACATCGCTGCCCAGACTCCCTCTGCCTCGAGGTACTGGCCCGTGGCTTCTCCTCCTCCCTCTGTTTGTTTGGTTGTTTGGTTGTTTTCCATTGCCTTGTGCATTTTTCAGGCTGACCCCTCCTCCCCCAAGCCCCTGGCTGTCCTGGCAGCTGCAGGCACTTGCAGGAAGGCTGCTGGAGAGCACTGGCAGAAAAGGAACGTGGGATTTGTGCCCGGGAGCAGCCGCCCTTGCAGCCCCATCCCGAGCGTCAGAGATGTCACAGAGGGATGAGAGCATGGCAGCACCACCTGACCAGCCACAGAAGCTCTGATTTCAGCTCTGCAGTGCTCCCAGCAGAGTTAGCAAATGACTTGCAGACCGGGAACTATCTGCAAATAGTTTCCAATAATGAATTGAGGTGTGAAAGCTGCAATCTGCTCTGAGACAATCTGTAAACAGAGGGAAGGAAAATTCACCAAAATAAATTATTCATTTTGGATTACTCCTCTAGCTCATGTCTTAACTTGCGGCTCTCCGGGGCCTGCAGAGACTTCTGGGGATGCTCCTGTACCCTGAGCAGAGCTGCTGGGGCAGGCACAGGGATGTGAGACAGATCAGGGAGTCCTATCAACACCTGGCCAGCTCCTCTGCCCCTCTGATGGCATCTGCTACCAAACATGGACCAGCTCCACGGGCTGTCCAAGGGCACTGAAGGTAAATCTATTCCTGGCCAAAAACTGGACTCTTCCCCTTTCGCTCCTGCCATCAACAAAGAGGAAAAGGAACCACCCTGGAGCAGGAACCAAAGCAGAGGTGGGATGGGGAATGGGGGAAGGAGAGGACACAGGGATAGAGGAGCAGGGCAGGCTGGAGACAAATCACAACTTCGAGCTGGAGCAGACCGTGTGGGACACACAGATGTGCCCACCATGGAGGGACAGTCCTGGGTAGGGGCACTGGAGGGACTGGGTGAGGTGTGATGCACCAGGAACTGTGCCCAGCCACCCTTTGAAACCTTCCCGACAGCCTGAGGAGCAGAAATCGGCCCTGAGGAAGAGGAGATCCCCAAGAACAGCCTGGAGGTCCCAGGGGGCACAACAGGAGGAACCCCCTGGCCCCAGGCAAGGGGAGCCATGAGCAGGCTGTGCCTGAGGGATGTGAGGGATGCAGTGTCCCACCCTCTGCACAGCTCCTGATGAATCTGGGACTGGCATGGCACTTGGCATGGCACTTGGCATGGCACTTGGCATGGCTTGGTGCTGGAGAAACTGGCCAAAGAGCAGAAAAACTGCACATGGAAAAGAGAAACCTGTGGAGCTGGAGGAAGGTGCAAGGTGGGAAGCTGAGGTAGAGCAATGATCACTTGTTCAGTTATCTGCAAAGATTGCCTTGGGCTGCTCCTGGGTCCTCCTGGGCAGGACCTTCAGCTGGGACAGGCCATGTTTAAGCAGCTTTGTCGTTCTGCCCATTGGATCTCCAAGTGCCACAGTCTGGCTCTTCCGTTTTCAGCCCTTTTAGTCAGTCCCAAGTCTTCAACCTCCCCATGGAAAGCAGCAGAGTGGACTGGAGCACATTGAGGCATTTCAGAGAGGTGTAAGGCAGTATTGTCTTCTTTAGTAAGAATTAAACAAGTGAATACAATTCTAGTGTGCATTTTCCTGAAAATGTAGTGCCTGGGACTGCAGGGAAGGGCAAAGTTCACAGCAGAATTCTCCAATACTGACCATGCCAAACTGGGAAAAGATTGCAGAATCAAAGTATTGCTCACACTCCAAGAAGGTTTTAGACTAAACCTGACCCCAGACATTGCCTGGAGAGAATCTGTGGCAAGCTGGACTTTTTCAAACCTTTTTTTTTTTTTCTGCCCTGAAACTTGCTCTATATTCAGGGGAGTTCAGGAATACTCAAACAGCTCAAATCTGGTGGATTTGTCTTTGATCCAGTTTGGCAATTATCGTCCCAACCTGCCATGATCCCAGCAAATGCCGGGTCTGGCCTTGTGGAGCTGCTGGTGTTAGAGCCCAGCTCACCTGCTCACCAGGCACAGAATTATTGGGGCATTGCTGCTGCTCTGGGCCACAGAGGTTTTCCAGGGGATGTGCTGGAACCTGCAAGGCTTTACAAGAATTATTTCAGCTTTAAGAAATAACCCCAAGAAAATGCTGTCAGCACTGTTGAACCAGCTTTTAATGAAGGCTTTAGAAACATCCCTACCAAGGCCATGGCTTTGCTCTGCTGACAAAGGGCAGGGGAATATCTGGGCCCCCAATTCCACAGGGGAGCTGGCAAATGAAAGTCACGGAATTGAGTATTTTGGCAAAAAAACACTGAGTACAGTAAGAAAGTGTGGTTTTGACAGCAGCCTGAGCCTAGGAGAGTTCCTGGGATCAGGCACCTCCTGAACCCCCCTGGCCTGGTGGCCCCTCCATTGCCCACCCTTGCCCAGGGCAGTGCAGACTCTGCAGTGACAGCTGAGAACTGCTCCTGCAGAGTGCCCCAGGAAGAGCCAAGTGCCCATGGAGCTTCCTAAAGCAAGAGGAAAAGCCAGCAGGCTGCAGGAGAGCAGAATGCAGCTCTGTGGGAAGGCTCAGTGGCCCACGGAAATCTGCTCCTCTCATTGCAAACTGCACTCTGCAGAGCAGCTGCTGGTTCAGAGCCCTGGCAGCAGCACCAGGAGCTGGAACCCAAAGCCACGGTTCCATGTCCTGCAGGACCAGCACTCCTGAGGCCGTGCTGGCCGTCCCTGGGCAGGGGACAGCACTCAGGACACTCAGGCCATGCTGCTCCTGCAGGGTGAACATCATAAATGTGTGGAGCTGAGGTGCCACCCAGAGTGATGGAGGATTCTGTGACAGTGACACACAAACCACATCTCCAGCAAACCCTTCCACATTCCTGGACTGGAGGAACCTCCATGAGGCTCCTGCTTGCCCCAGGGCTGCTGTTTGTGCCACCTCTTGGCTAAGGATGTGAAATGGGCAGCACAAGGATGCTGGTTTGGGGGTTTTTGTGTTCCAGAGACCTCAAGAGCTCTGAGGAGCACCTGAGGATTCTCCCCAGCGCAGGCTCAGGAGCTCAGGGAGCAGATGCAGGTGTTACAGATGTGCCTGGGCTTGAGCTGGAGGGGGTTCTGCCACTGCAGGTGCTGCCTGGGCTGGGACTGACGGGGCTGTGCAGGGTCCTGTTAGTGGCACCCCAAAGCCATCAGAGGGTCTGGCACCAGCTGTTGGTGGCACCCCAAAGCCATCAGAGGGTCTGGCACCCCAAAGCCATCAGAGGGTCTGGCACCAGCTGTTAGTGCACCCCAAAGCCATCAGAGGGTCTGGCACCAGCTGTTGGTGGCACCCCAAAGCCATCAGAGGGTCTAGCACCAGCTGTTAGTGCACCCCAAAGCCATCAGAGGGTGTTGGTGGCACCCCAAAGCCATCAGAGGGTCTGGCACCAGGGCTGTGCCCAGGTGTGAGCTCGGGTTTGACCCGTGCTGCCAAACGGGGCAGGGCCGGCGCTGCCCGTTCCTTCCCAATGAAACCATCCTGTTTCCCGGCTGTTTGCAATTAGCCTCCCGCAGCAGATGAATAATCTGTTCTTGTTGATTCGACAGAGCCGCTTGGAAAGGGGACAACCAGCGCGTTCCGCCTCGCCCGGCAGTCGCGGGCAGGAAGGGAGGGAGGCAAACACGGACACGCCGCTAATTCCCAGCCACAATCCCGTAAATTTAGCGGTGCTGGCACAAGGCAGGCGACAAATGCAGCAAGCAGGGACCGGAGGAGCCGCAGAGCTGCTGGCAGCAGGCAGAGCAGCCCCCGGCAGCCCAGCGGGGATGGGACAGGGTCCGGCAGGGCAGGGGCACCCCAGCCCGGCTGCTCGGAGCCGGGGGGTGCCAGCCCACGGCCCCAGCCCCCGTGGGAGAGCTGCTTTCTCGCCGTCAGAAATCAAAGCCATTTTCAGAAGGAGAACAGATTTTGGTTGGGAGGTGAGGGAAGCGGAGGGCCAAGAATAGAAGGGAACAGTGGGCGGAATTCTGACTCCCTGCTGCATTCAAAGTAAAGTACAGGACAAGTTTCAAGGAAGCAGCGGGGCAGCCCTCGGAGGGGCTGGCACGGACCGGGGAGCCGGGCAGGGGCTGGGGGCGGCCCTGCTGCCCGGGGGCACGGCAGGGCAGCGGTGCAGGGACTGCAGCGAGCAGGGCTGCAGCACCAGTGCAGGGCTGCAGCACCAGTGCGGGGACAGCAGCGAGCAGGGCTGCAGCACCAGTGCGGGGACAGCACTGTGCAGAGCTGCAGCACCAGGAATTCGGGAATGCGGGTCAGGGGAGGCAGGAATTCGGGAATGTGGGTCAGGGGAGGAGGGAATTCGGGAATGCGGATCAGGGAATTCAGGAATTGCACTGGGCCGGCCCGGAATTCGGGAGTGCAGGATCACAGGAGGCAGGAATTCGGGAATGGGGGTCAGGGGAGGCAGGAATTCGGGAATGCAGGATCAGGGAATTCAGGAATTGCACTGGGCCGGCCCGGAATTCGGGAGTGCAGGATCACAGGAGGCAGGAATTCGGGAATGGGGGTCAGGGGAGGCAGGAATTCGGGAATGCGGGGTCAGGGGAGGCAGGAATTGCCCCGTGAGCTGGAGAAGGACGGGCTGAGGAGAGGGCATCGCTCTGAGCTCCACTGTCACCTCTGTCCCCTCCAAGGGCAGCGCTGCCAGGGCTTGGCACAGGGCTGCTGCCATGGGCTCTGTGTGTTGATCCATGAGATCCTGGGAACATCAGGCAAAGCCAGCACGAGGCTGAGGCTGCTGCAGGTGCCAGGCAAGACAGTCCTGAGCATTTCCAGCTGCAGGAACTGCAATTTTGGCTCCTTTTCTCCATGAGAGATTCCTGCAGGGCTGGAGGTTTTGCCCAGAGTCTGCTGGAAGTGAGAACCTTGGCTTTATTCACAGAATCCCAGAATCACTGAGGCTGGAAAAGCCCTCCAAGGTCATTGATTCCAACCTGGTCCCAACCCCACCTTGTCCCCAGCCCAGAGCCCTGAGTGCCACCTCCAGGGGACTCTAAATCTCCTGGGCAGCCCCTGCCAAGGCCTGAGCACCCTTTCCATAAAAAAATTCCTGCTGGTGTCCAGCCTGACATTTTTGCTGGGTACTGCAGCTCTGGGGTTGTTGTTTGCAGATAGGCTGGAGGCAGAGGCAGTGTGGAAGATGTGCTGCTGCCCTGGGCATCCCGGGGAGGATGGGCAGGGCTGAAAGGGACTTTTCCCTGTGAAATGGGGCTGTGGTGCTGAGGCTGTGTCCCAGCTCCATCTCTGCATCAGGAGTGATGCTCAGGGAGCAGTGCAGGAGCAGGTCGGGTGTGAGAAGACAACAGCTGGCATGGCAAGGACAGCAGGGATTCCTTATTCCTCCTCCTGAGGTTTTTCCAAGCCCAGAGCCCAGCTGGCCCTTTGGCTAAATCCCCCCCATGCTTTTCTCACCTTTCACAATCCTGCTCTTCCTCTCCTGCCACTGTCACGTTCCCCTGGGCTGCAGTGCCAAGGACAGGGAGCCAAGGAGAGCCACCACCCCCTGCAGGAGCCTGGCTGAGGCTCAGTCCCCCCCAGCCTCAGCTCCCCTGGTGCCATTCCTCACCTCAGAACAGGCAGAGGGCAGGAGGATGGGGCTGAGCATGTGCCCAGGCGTGTGGCTGGCTGAGTTCCCAGCAGAGCAGCAAGAGGAACTCCTGGGAACTCCTCCATCTCCCACAGCTGTTGCAGGGACCATGCTCAGCTCTGCTCCAACAGAACCTTGTGGAGAGGGGCTGTGCCCTGGAGAACTGCAGCCTGGGGAGCTCTTGCACCGCTGCCTGACTGTGGAAGGACTTTTGGTGTCTGGAGCTTCCTCCAGCTCCAGAGGGTCTGTGGATCCCATGGACAACTTGATGTCACCCTAAAGCAACAGAGAAGCCACCTGTGAAGGGCACCTTCCTGTGTGCATGTCACAGGGTGCTCTGAACTACATAAAACATTCTCAGAGTGGGGAAGATCACCGAGAGCTTGACCAGAACTGACTTGAGAAGCTGTTTCAAAGCACTCCGAAAGGAGCTGCAAACAGCTGGCCGTGCTTGCTGTTCCCTGGCAGGAGTGGGTGGTGGTGCCTTCTGCAGTGCTCCCAAGGAGCTGCTGGGAATAAGCACGCTGCTGCAGGGTGCTTGGGACGGCAGCACTGGGAAAGGAAGATGGGCTCCAGGCTGAGCGTGCCAGCAGCCCTTCAGCTCAGGTGGGAGCACTCCTTCCCTTTGACGTGGATGGAAATCTGCTGCTCAGGGCTCGGTCAGCACCCAGACCAGGATGGGGATGCCTGGAGAATAGAAAACCAGGAGGGAACCTCGCTTAAAATGCAGGTTCAGGATCTTGTGGCAGGGCCCTGGGGCTGTTCCCCTTGCCAGGGAGGTGGGCAAGACCGAGGGGGGTTTCCTGAGCTGAGTCCTCTGAAGGAGGAGGGGGCCGGGGAAGTTCCCAAAGCTGCTGACAGCTCCTGGTGTCCCCTGTCGCTGGGGTGTCCCTGGCAGTCCTGTCCAGGTGTTCTGCCTGCAGCAGGTCCCGCAGTGGACTCTGATCACTCAGGAACTTGGGGAGCCCTGCAGCATGTCCAGAACGTCTCCCAGCATGTTTCCCACCGCACATGGATGGTGAGCAGCCTGCCAGCCTCGCAGCTCCTGGCAAACACAGCTCCCCACTCACTCCCGATAACAACAGCCTGAAAAAAACAACAAACACGGAGAGAAAATGGATTTTCCCCCTTCCTTTTTCAGGAATTCTGGCAAGATGTCAACATGCTCCGCTGCCACTCAGAGTGGAGAGCGTTGCCCAGCTCTTCCCGTGCCCGTCTGCCGGGCCTGGAGCGATTGCAGAGCTGATTTTCGGCAGCTGAAGCGGCAGCAGGAGCGGGAGGGGAAGGCTGGGCTATCAGTCACCGGGAGATGCTGCTCACTCCCACGGAGGTGTTTACAGGAGGGGCGTGAGTGCGAGCTGGAGCCAGCTGCCATTAGCATTGCAGATCGGGCACTTGTTAGCAGAGTGCTTCGCCCCTGCTTTACAATTTGCTAATAATAAAGCATTTGTTCCCGGCAAACAAACGCCCAGATTTATGTCTTGCTCACAAAGGACTCCAATAGATATATTGATACCTTGTGAAGCTGCAGCGGGGAGAGGGATTGAAAAGCTGCTGTTTGCTTGACTCCATCCAGCTCCTCTATTGATGACTGGGAGGCATTTATTTCACCGAGGATAGAGCACTCGGAGCTGCGAACTCTCTGTTGCCAATAGTGCCATATTTAGGGTTATTATATCACCATAAAACAGCTTTATGGGGCCGTGAATATTGGGGCACGTCGATAGCCAGCACTGCAGCACGGCTGTGCCGCCCGCCTGGCGGGGCTGGCAGAGCCCGGGCAGCCCTGGAGGGCAGAAAACAGGGACGAGCAGCTTTCAGGGGAGAAACGGGCACGGGAGGAGCTCCTGGAGCTGCCACCTGCCCTGCTGTCCCCGCTGAGGACAGGCATGTGCAGAGCTGTGCTGGCACTGGGGACTCGGTCCCCAGCACATCGAGCCAATGCAGGGATGCCAGTGCCCAGGGAATGTGCCAGGCACCAAAAAATCAGGGCAGGAGCTACAGTGCTCCTGCTGTGGGGTCCCAGGGAGGGCTGGAGGGTGCTGTGGTGCTGCCACGGGTGGGACCTGGCACAGCAGCGTCCCCTGTTCTCCAGCTTGAAGTGGCACCTTGTCCTGGGCTCGTTCTCCAGAACTCCTCTGCTCCCAGGGGCAGCACAGCACGGAGGAAGGAGCTCATGTGTGCACAGGAGAAATCTCTTGGGACAGAGGGGCAGTTCTGGGACAGGGACAGCAGCCAGGGCACGGCTGGAGCTGGGCCAGGGCAGCTCAGGCTGGAGATCAGGAAAGGTTCTTCCCCCAGAGGTGCTGGCATTGCCCAGGCTGCCCAGGGAATGGGCACGGCCCCGAGGCTGCCAGAGCTCCAGGAGCCTTTGGGCAGCGCTGCCAGGGATGGACAGGGTGGGGTTGGTGGGGGTCTGGGCAGGGCAGGGGCTGGGCTGGGTGATCCTGTGTGTTCCAGCTCAGGACATTCTGTGATTCTTCCGTGGGAGGAGCTGCAGCCCCAGGAAGGACAGACAAGCCCTGCTGGGATCCCCCTGGAGGGGTTGTACCTCCCCCAGCCCGAACACACCGGGCTGTCCCTTCCCACCCCATTCCCCGGGTGAGCCCTCCTTCCTGCTGATCCATCAAACCTGGGCTGAGCTCCGTGGCTGCAGGAGAAGCACAGCCCTGTAACTGCTCCAGAACAGGCTCTCCCTGTCAGCTCCCATCCTCTCTTACATTTTAGATGCTAAATAATGCACTAATGGAAAAGGAAACCTTAGCCAGGGCAGAGAGATTAAGATGCAGAGCAACCACAGCTTTTAGCTTTCATTTTCTGACTCCAAATGCTGCATTTCTTAGCTTTATTTCTATGCATTTTGTTGTTGGTGGGTTTTTCTGCAAGGGCTTTCCAAGAAGAGGAAACAGATTTTGACTGCAGCACTTGAACTTTTGTTACCAGTGTTCTCCTCGCAATAAATTTTGGATTTGATGGGAAGCTGCTGGTCCTAAGAAATCACAAACACGGGAAACAAAACACAGAAAAAACTGAGAGGTGCCTTCAGCCTTTTGACAAGACTCTGTCAAGAAGCTCTTAGTCTTGGATTGTATTTTAGCCTATCTTTCTGCTCACCACTGTGTTCACCTTTGAGGGGGAGTGGCCTTTTCTCTTTACAACCTGAGAGAGTTTTATTCTGACTATTAAATTAGTAATTAGTGCTTCATTTAGCTGAGGTCTCCAGTGCCCAGACAGTATTGATTTGTCAGAGATAGAAGGATGGAGCCCCTTTCAGCACGGTTTTGGGCACCGAGTCAAGGGGGCTTCTCAGCTATTTAGAGGTGAATTTCCCGTGCAGAGAACAGGCAGAGTGGGACGGAGGGGCCAGGGAGGGTTTGTCACTGCAGGTGTCTCATCCCTGCACTGTTCTGCCCAAATCCCACCTGGCAAAGTGCCCTGGGCAGGACACAGGAGCTGGAGGCTCCCCAAGGCTGCAGGGGATGGCCATTCCCAGCAAGGCACAGTGCCCCGTGTCCTGCTCTGCCAGTCCCCTCAGACAGACCATTCCCAGAGTCCTTGGGATGTAAAAACCCTTTCCTGCAAGGTTCTGCCTCCTAAGGGGGACTCCAGGCTCAGGGCTCACCTTGGCTGGGCCAGCAATTGCCAAAGTCACCTGTGTGTTTAAACAAGAGCTTGTGATTCCTCTGGAGAGTTCTCAGCTGGGTCTGGAGAGAGAATGAGTGCAGGAGCTTGGCCAAGGAAAGCCAGGGCAAGGTGGAGTCCCCATCCCTGGAAACGGGGAAAGAATGACAAGTGGCAATTGGGACAGGGTTCAGTGACCATGGTGGGATTCGATTGAAGGCTGGACTTGATCTTGGAGACCTTTTCCAAGTTAGTGATTCCATTGATGTAAGGAAGGACCTCACAGATGTGAGTCATATTCACTCCTCTTTCACCTGAAGTTTAAACCAGAGCCTAACTCAGCACCACCCCAAAGCTGAGTCCAATCCCAAGCGGTCAGCAAATGTTTTATTTGAAGCAGCTATTGATGAACTGATAAAGCATTGCTGAGAACCCTGGCAAACTCAGGGGAAGAGATGACAGAGACCAGGGCAGAGGCAGGAGGGCACAAAGCTCCACTGAGCATCTGCAAACCAGCACAGGAGAGCCCCTGTCACAGTGACAGGGAATGGGCACAGCCCCGAGGCTGCCAGAGCTCCAGGAGCCTTTGGGCAGCGCTGCCAGGGATGGACAGGGTGGGGTTGTTGGGGTCTGGGCAGGGACAGGAGCTGGGCTGGGTGATCCCTGTGGGTCCTTGCAGGAAGGACATTCTGTGTGTGATTCTGTAACCTGACTCTGAAATGAATTCACACAGTCATAGAATCTCCTGAGCAGGAAGGGACCCACAGGATCATCCAGTGCCCCCCAGCCCTGCCCAGACCCCACCAACCCCACCCTGTCCATCCCTGGCAGCACTGCCCAAAGGCTCCTGGAGCTCTGGCAGCCTCGGGGCTGTGCCCATTCCCTGGGCAGCCTGGGCAGTGCCAGCACCTCTGGGGGAAGAGCCCCAGCACACCTGGGGCACACCTGGAGTCCAAGCCCGCTGAGGGGAGCAAGGGCATGGCAATGCTGGAGGCTCAGCAGGAGGCTCTGCTGCAGTTTGAACACAGGAAGGAGGATGTGGCAGGAGCAGCACATCAGCCTGCACAGCTGTGCAGGGGATTAGCAGCTCCCAGAGGCTTTGCCCACAGCTGTGCAGCACAAGGGCAAACATATGTAAAGAAAAAGCCTTTAGAAATGATCTTAACCTAATCTGAGGGCTGCAGACTCTCTACACTTACCCACAATCACACATCACAGCAGGCAAGCAAAGGCTGTTCCCAGGCTCTCTGCTGCTCAGGGGTTGGCTAGGGCGCTGTCCAGTGCCACAGCCACATCCTCTTGTGTCACAGGAACTGGCTCTTGTCACACTGGGCATCTGTGTGTCACCTGCAGCATCACCCACCCCTGGCACTGCCCAAGAGCAGCTTAGGGAGGATCCAAATGGCACAAATTTATAAGATGCCATCTTGAGATAAAGCCTGGAGACATTTAAGGGATTAAGGGACTTAATTTATCTGCAACAGCCGATGATCTTTGCATGGCAGAGCAGTTCCCTTGGTCCAGTGGAGTGCAGGGGGATGAGAAACTACTTTGGGCTCTCCAGGTTTGTGGGGTTTTTAATTTTACAGAATCACAGAAAAATTTGGGTGGGAAGGGACCTTACAGCCACCCAGTGCCACCCGTGTCATGGCAGGGACACCTTCCACTGTCCCGGGCTACTCCAAACCCCAGTGTCCAGCCTGGCCTTGGGCACTGCCAGGGATCCAGGGGCAGCCACAGCTGCTCTGTGCCAAGGCCTCCTCACCCTTCTCCCATCAGAGGATTCCCATTCCCACAGCTCCCAGCCAGGGTGGGTCTGTGCTCCCCCACTGACTGAAGGCTTCTATCACACCTGGATCTAGAAATGTGTTATAACAATTCCTGCTGCTATTACTTCCAGCAGCAGTGGGTCAGATATCTGGATTTTCCATTCTGCCCCTCAGGGACACCTCGTGAGCCTGGATTCCCAACTGGGAGCGCATCCTGCTTTTCCCTGCTGGGCTCCCTCACCTTGCCAGGTCCCAGCCCTGCCCTGCCAGTCCATCCTGCACCCTGAATGTGACCAGCTGACACATCCTGAGCAGGAGGAGAGGAGGGATCAGCTGGCTCTGGGAACACACAGCCCATGGGAGGTCACCCCGAGCACACACTGTTGTTACAGGACACGCGAAAGCACGACGTGAGCCGTTCCTTGTGGGACTCAGATTCAGTCAAAGAAAGAAACTAAGAATTTCTAGCCAGGCAGAAGCCTGGGAAAGAACTAGAAAAGAATGTAAATAATTCTTTATCTCTCTTGTTTTTCACATTGTTTATAGTTAAGTTCTATCACTGTGCATCAAGCACTCTGCACCAGTGGGGTGGCTTGTTTTCACTTCAGAACCAATGGATTTGGTCCTCATGAAGCTCTGTATAAAAGAGCAGGGTATTTTAAATAAACTGGAGTTTTACTCTCACAGCCTTCTGAGTCAGAGTCTTCTCATTCCTGTCCTACCTCAACAGCAACAGTTGCTATTGCAAGGTGAAAGAGAGAGAGTTTATATTTTTGACTCTAGCATTTATATTTTTCTAAAGGTGACAGTGGATTGGAGAGTGAATGTGCCACCTCTCTAAAGACATTGGACAAACTACTAGTACATCAAGTTTTTTTACTTCTATGAAGGAATGCAAAACAATAGGTTGCTTACAGAAAGTTGTGTGAGAAAGTTCTCTAACAGAATATAAACTCAAAAAGCTTTAAAAAATCTTAAGAATAAAAGCAACACACAGCAAGAACAGGGCTGGGTTTGGGACAGCTCCAGGCACTGGAGTCACAGGATGTCACCTGCAGCTCACCTAAAATT